TTTTTAGAGTATCGGAGGGCTTGCGAGAGAGCAGGTATTAGTCACACGTTGGTTTTCTGTTTAAATTATGCTTGAGAATAAAAGTTTGTTGAACGTCGCCTGAAAATGAGCACGTTTTACTACATGCAGCATATCAAACTGACCTTACGCGTCGTGGACGCGGTAACTGACATTTTTCTGAAACCCAGATTATGTGCCACGAGCTATCCGAGCTCGAGCCGTATCACCTCACGTAACTTACAGCGCAGGCCTAGGAGACAGGCCCCATCGTTATCCCACTCGGCACATAGGAAAGGAGGCACAGAAAGTTAAGTAAGGTGAATGACTAACTGGATTTTCTCTGATCTCTTATCACCATCTGTTGCAGTCTGTTTTTTCATCGAACGCGTCCTTGCCACCTTGAATTTCTTGGAGAACCTCCACCTTCACCTTCTCGGCTGGACCCAAGGGTCAGCTGGCATTTCCACCACAGCCTGGGCCTCCATGGATCCAGTCGAGAAACCTAACTCAGTGTTGATTTCTGAACCTTCCCCGATGACCTCTGAGGACTCCTCACGGGACGTACCGGCAGCCTCCCATCCTTCCTTCCCAGAAATGCTGATGATGGGCCTCAGAGACCTGACCCCGGGCCTGGCACCCCCTTCGCCGCTGCCACTCTGCCGGAGGGGCTGCTCCAGCAGCGGTACCGAGATGAGCAAGCCCTACAAGAGCGGTGGTGGGGAAAGGCAGCTTCTCCCCAGAGGAAGAAAGCCTTCCTGGGGCACCTGAGGCAGACGCACCTGGATCACGTGGCACCTTATCGGGTTGATAGGGAAGCCAGGATCTTTTCCCCAAGCCATCGAGATCAGAAAAGATTCAGATGTGAATGTCGATACTGCCAGCGACAGAGGCCGAATATTTCTGGGATGCCTGCTGACAGGAGTGGGGCCCCACACCCCTCCTCCTGGGAAACACTAGTCCAAGGCCTCAGTGGCTTGACCCTCAGCCTGGGCACCACCCGGCCCGGCCTTCTGCCGGAAGCTGCCTGCCAGCAGCAGGAGCCACAGGAGAAGCTGCAACTAGAGATGCAGCAGGAAAGCAAAAGGATGTTTCAGAGGCTCCTGAAACAGTGGTTAAAAGAAAACTGAGACTCGCAGCGTCGCGTGAGGAAGCTCTGAATGGAGTCGGACATGGATGCTGGTTTGCCGCATCCGGGTGTGGGTTTCCTAGGGGACCAAACAGTGAGCCGGAGTCAGAGGAGGCGCCAGAGCAGACCAAGGACTGGGAAGCCTGTCAGCGTGAGACTCGATCCCACGAAGGTCCTGGACTTTCCCGCCTGGAATTTCTGCATCACTCTGGTACATTCTGTGGCAAGGGACACTGTCCCAGAGGCCCTGCACCCCATCCTATGGTGCCCATCCTATGATGCAATGCACCTATGGCACCCCATCCTATGGCACCCATGATGCATGCTATCACTTTGCTGCCCGGGCCTCCCTCTCCTCCCCACCTTGTTGTCATTAGATAGAAAGTATCTCTAGCGTGATGCTTTTGTGCCGTTTCATTGACCGCCCCCACCCAGCAGGCCTCGGTCTGCTGGAAGGCACTGTGCTGGACTGACAGCCAGCTTCCAGAATCTGTAGCTGACCCAGTGTGGCAAAGGCACGCGAGGTATCCCTTGGCGGTGCATCACCTTGCGGCTGGTGAAAGCCCTGACACTCTGTCGGTAAATGCTTCCCTGCCCCTTGTCATTCTGTGCTGTTCCCCTGCAGGAGTTTCTGACAGGTTTCCTCATCATCCGTACCAAATAAATGGGCAAACTGACTTTGCAGTTCAGCTTTCTTGATCCGTGTTGGTTTACTGCTGTTAGATCTGAGATCACTACACTTAAACCCAGAGCAGGGATCAGAGTCATCCAGAGGAGCTGTAAACTGTGTGGATTTGAAATGTGGGGGGGGGGGGAGAGGGCACCAGAGAGCAGCACCAACACGGGAGGTGACCTGGCCACGGGGCAGCCTCCAGACAAGCCAGGGAGCACAATGGAGGAGAGTCCTTCACCCGTGGAGAGTTGGAAGCAGAGATGGCTGCCCACAGCACAGGCTCCCGCGGCTGGAGCTGGTGCCTGGCAAGGGCTCCATGGCCGGGCCTGGTGCCTGCTGCTGTCACTGGCTGGAGAATGTAGCAGCAGTTTCATGCCCGCTTCATGAGACCACAGCATCATTGAGGTATGGACAGTCCCATTGGGATGTAGACATGTGCCTTTTCATTTCAGGGCGCGTTAATAATTCAATCTACTTATTCTCCCCACAGACCGTGACGATGTGTCTCCCACAAGCAGCCGTGCAAGTCTTCTTAATGGAAAAGAGGAAGTCGGCTTTCTGTCTGTCTGTGTTTGTCGGTCATCCGCGGAGCTGTGTGTCTGACGTCTACCAGTCTTCTGCAGACAGGTGTAGCTTGAGCACAGGTAGGTCTGTTCCGTTCTCAACGGGACGTCTCATCAACCCTTGCGGCTCAACTGACCATCTCAGGCTTGTCCCCAGCTTGGGGCGTGAAGGACATAAGAAATAAAACAGGGCACTTTTTCTTGGACCCAAAGGTGTAAATTCCTGGACTTTGGGTGGTGTTTACACAAACTATCGTCGTTTGCCACTTTGTTTGCAGGGTGACAGATAATAGTCCATGTATCCGCATGTATCAGCTCACTTAACCCTGTGTCACAGAGCCATCAGGCTGCCAGATTTCCATCCCTGCTGATGAGGTGGGAAGGGAGACTAGAGAGACATCAGGGACCTTTCTGAGGACCACTCAGTCACTGGAGGGGCAGGGGCCACAAACCTGCACGGGCCGGGTCCTGGCCGCGGTCTTACCCAGGTCAGCACACCCTCACCCGCACAAAGGCTAGCTGGGAAGTGGCAAGAGACTTGACCTCCTTGGGTGGATCACATCTGGGATGGCCCAAAGTCTCTGGCTCTCTGCAATCGAGCCTTTCATCAGAGAGAGAGAGCCCGCGGGGCTAGATGGGAGACAGCTGGTCACTGACAGCCTGTCTGCTGCTTGCGTCGGAATCACCAACACATGCAAACTGTCTGAAAGTCTGTGAGCCGTGGCTGGACAGACAAGCAGGGGCACACCATACAGAAGACGACTGATGGGCACCAGGGACGAACTTCTGATTTCCAGGACAACTGGGATGGAACCCAAAGCCTTATGCTCCGTGAGAGCCCAGACACAAAAGGCCACCAACAGCCTGAGTCATGTATTGGGGTGTCCGGAAAGGGGGAGCTGAAGGACAGGACTGCAGGTAGAGGACGCCTAGACCCAGAGGTGGCACTGGCGTTTCCTGGGAACGGGGGCATGGGGGGCTGTGGGTGACAGGGATGATGTAGGCCTGGATGGTGGCCCCAGCTGCATGGGTCTGTTACTTGCTGACAGGACCTTGAACTGGGGGCATCGGCAGGTGTGTGAATGGTAACTCGATAAACTGCTGACAGAATGGAGGCCTGCGGGGGGGGGGGGGGGAGGTCTTCCAACAAATGAGGTCTCCCACCCTCTCGTGTTCCGGCCCTGCCCACGTGATTCCCCCCGCCCCCGGCCACCCCTCAGCTGCAGCGGAGGCTCCTTCACTGGACTCACTGAGCACTTTGGGGCGCCAGGCCAGCTGGGGAGGGCGCCGGTCTCCCCCATGTGCGTCTGTGTTCACAGGCACGTGCCCCTGGTGACTCCGCTTCTGTGGAGGCGGCCAGCTCCGAAGACCACCCCGTGCCTCACATTCCACTTAAGTGCTTTCTCTTCTGCACAGCCTCAGTTTCCTTGGTAACCAGCCTCAGAGCTTAGCTTCAGCCCCTGGTCACAGGAAGACACGGAGAGAGAGAATGGGGGGGGTGTTCTTCCCCCCACAGCCCCCACTGTGCTCAGCCACCCTGTGGCTCAGAGCAGAGCAGTAACCATGACAACGGCACTGCAGACTCTTCTCCAACAGGCCCGGACCCTTCCCCCTGCCTGCCTGCCTGCCTGCTACAGGAGGGAGCCTCTGGAAAAACACATTCTCCAGGCCTTGATTCTGCTCTGATATGGCTGTCTAATGAACCTGTCAGAAAGAGCACCCAAAACACAAGACCCATCAAAAGCTGTTAAAGGTCAGTAGAAGCAAACATGGCTGTAAGGTCCAAGGTTGCAGGAAAAACGAAGCAGATGAAGCCGCGTGTGTGCCTCAGCTGGGCCTCCTGTCTCCCCTGGAGTGTTTTCAAGAGGACAGATGCTGGGCCTTCCCCACAGAGCAGGAGGGGCCGGTCTGCGGTGGGGCCCCAGCCTGATTGTTGGGGAAGCTTATATTCCCGGCCCAGGCCAGGCAGGAGGGGCTGGTGGGTGGAGAGGAAGCCTGAGGTGGGGTCAGTGTCCTGGAGGATATTTCCCTTGGATGCGGGGTCAGTGAACACAGGAATTGCAAGACCAGGTCGTGCGCGGGGAATGCCAGAGTGGAAACCACAAGAGGTCAAGGGCTTTCCATGCCCAGGACCTGGTGTGGATAGGGTGGGGTCCTCAGGTAGCAAGGACGAGCCTTCCCTGCGGCCCAGAGCTTCCAGGTCGGCGCGCCATGTCCCTGGCTCTGAGGTCTCCAGGCGGGGTCAGAGCTATGGGGGCTGAGAGGCGGGCAGTGTGCGTCCCGCTGGCCTGGGGTGTTCACAGGCTGCGGGTGGAGAATGCCCGGGGGTTGGCATAGGGCCCGTACGTGGTCGGTGGGGACGATGGGGTGATCGGGGACCACACCTTGCACATCAGAGATCCCTTCACCCAAGGGCAGGTCACGTAGGATCACGGGAACCGCTCTCCTGATACTGGCAGGGACACTGGCATGGACCTCACAGCGCGCAAGCGCGCAGGCCCAGATCCCGGCCGACCTAGCGCGGCCCCGCCCCCGGCGGCCTACTGCTTCCGGTAGCGGTTGCTTTGTTTCCGAGGATGCGCCAGCGAGGCGTCCGAGCCAGGGAACTGAACCTCGGGAACCCTTAGGGTTCCATCTCTGCTTTCCACTCACCTACCGTTTTTTTCTTAGCTGTTATCTGTGCGAAAACGTGGCCACTCAGGCGAGAGTTTGTTCATGTTTCGCGTCGTGCCGTTTCTGTGGCCACTAGATGGCAGTGCGGCCACGCGCAGGTAACGTGCCGCCCCCGCCCCCGTCCTTCGTGCTTGAAAAAAACGCCGCGGAGCCCTTTGCGCCGTAACGCGCGGCTTTTTCTGCGCCTGCGCTCACTGGCCGGCCTGCTCTTCCGAGGAAGGAATTCTGGCCTTTGCCCGAATTCTTTAAGCTTGCAAATTAAAACTCTCTTCTAAGGGCCTGTGTGCCTGCTTTACCAACTTGTCTTTCTGCTTCTCTCGGTCATCTCTGTTCCTGTTTCCCCAAGCTTACTTCGCTTTTTTATACCTGTCTTTATCCTTCCATTGTTGCTGTCAAACTGACCCTACAAAACTGCAGGACTTTGAAATAGAATAAAGTCAGCTGGAAACACAGCCATTAACTGTCAGTGGCCACTGCTTTCTTTCCATTGCAGTAACAGTGCAGGAAGTATTGTAGTAGTTGCAGGTGCGCATCATGAAACGTGCCAACACTGCATAGTGATATTTTGGGATGAATTTCAGTTCAGGTTGGTTGTGTTGTTATTTTCCTCCAAGGGGGGATTTAAATGCACTGTGATTCAATTTTGCATCCTGGCCGCAGCCTCCTTCCTTCAAAAGACCCCTCTCCATCCTCGATCAGATCATCATGTTTATATTTTCAGTCCTTTTATTAAAAATCAGCACAGACGTATGGGAAAATAGTGACCATTTCTGGAGATAAAGTTGAGTTCCGAATACGACCTAGGATGCAAAGACAACCATTGCAGTTCAGGTTTATGGGACAGCACTGTGGTGCTTGGCTGTGGCCTGCTTAGACTTGCCATCCTGAAGAGCACACGCAGCATTGAGTGGGTGCTCTGAGATTTGGTGAAACTTAAAATTTTTACTTCTGTCATCCTTTTTCTTTAGATGGAGCAATCGATCTCTTTAAGGCACAGCGTGTGAAATAATGGCTTTCTCAGTTGGCATGTTGTAGTCTGCATTTGTCTATGTATTCAGTATAAGCGTTTGTCTTAAAATATCAGATTTTCCGAGCCTCCCCGATGACACAGCGGGTTGAGCGCTGCGCTGAAGGTGTCTGCAGCCTTTGCAGCCGTGGGTTCGATTCTCAGCCAGCCAGGGAGAAACCCACATGGCTTGGCGGACCTCTCCTGCCTCGACCGCTGCTCCCCTCAGCAGTGTCTTCGCTCCGTCTGCCTGTTCTGCTCCCTGCTCTGTCTCTGGTGAATTCTCTCACCCTCCCACGCCTCTGACTGTACCCCAGTTCTTGTATAAATAAATAAATCTTTTTTTAAA